GGAGGAGCCCAACCCTGTGAGATCTAATGGGTCTGTGGGAGGTAATTGGTGTGAGGAAATAAAACCTGCAGATATGTTTTAGTTCCATTTCTCCCTTCACCTCCCTGGCCCTCCTAGTTGTGGGTCTCCAGCCCACCGTCCTGCTGGTTGGAGAGGGGGCTGGGCCAAGGGACTTTCAGGGCTTGGGGCTAAGACAGACAGAAGGGGCGAATGGAAGCGACTCAGCCAAGGAGCTTCCATACTCTTTAAGTGGGGGGGGGGAACTAAAGCAAAGACCTTGGGGAGGGGGTGGCCCAGCCAGCCCTCAAAAGAAACACCTCTGGAACCTTCCTGCTGTTGCCTGGAATCAGCTACCCCCAGAGGTCCAGACCTTACCCACTCTCATGGCCTTCAGGAAAACTGGCTGTTCCGGCAGGCCTGGGGCTGTTGACCTTATTGTTAAGGTCCAGCCCCGATTAGAACGAATGCGTGTTGTGAATTTTAAACTATCCTTTTCTTATTTTCTTTTCTTTTTTCTTTCCTTCTTTGTAAGCCGCCCGGAGTCCTTCGGGATTGGGCGGCATATAAATATAATAAATAATAATAATAAAAAAATAAGGCCAAGTAAATGGGCCCAAGACTTGCTGGCCAATCAATTGATGGTGAGGGTCTTTTTATTACTCTGGTTCGCCTCATTCAAAGGCCAGATATCTGGATGATCCAGGAGCGTTTTTATGGCCCCAAATTCTCAGCTGGTATTGCAGGCAGAGCTGGCTCTGAAAACCCAATTGCTTCCCCCCCCCCCGCGCTCTTGCCCCCCCAGGCCTAGAAGGGAGTCTGGAAAGGACCATGGTCCCTCAGTCAGCATCTCTTCTGGGGAGCCCCCATTTCCCTGGCTGCTTCATCCTATTCCCCCAAAAGCTTGGGCCGGGCAACTGAAAAATGGCAGTCAAAAAAATAGGATTCTCCACTTGCCGTTTCTGCCCCTTGGAGCTGCTTCAGGAGGCCAAAAAAAAGGGAAAAACAAACCCAGAAATAATTTTGACTTCTGCCTCTGCTGCATTGAGTCATTCCTACTTAAGTTACTTGCTTGTCTGCTGCTCTGATAATGCTACCTTAACAATAACAATGGCATTATCGCAGATCACCTTCACAGGTACAGTACGTGACTGCTGCACGCTTGTGTATTTCAAGCCAATATTTGCACACCTGAATTCCTGCCACCTTTGCGGTCACTTTCAGGGTCTGGAAGGCTCCAAGAGGAACGTGGGGCACAGCTCCCTGACTCCCCCCCCACTCTAAGTCCTGGGCAATTAAGCCCCTGAGCCCCTCAAGGAATCGGTTTTTAGGGAGCCTGGAGGTAAAGGGGCAGCTACTCCTAGAGTAGTGTTTCCCAAACTTGGCAACTTTAAGACTTAAGCTTAAGATTAAATTTAAGTTTAAGCTTAAGACTTAAGCTTAAGACTTTAAGCTCAAGCTGGCTGGAGAATTCTGGGAGTTGAAGTCCACAAGTCTTAAAGTTGCCAAGTTTGGGAAACACTGTCCTAGAGGCAGAGGCCTTCCTTTTGCCCATCTGATCAGAAGGAAAGATTTGCCACCAGGAAAGCAGTTTGATTTATTTGGAGGAGGCTGGATGAACCTCCCCAAAACACGAAGGCTGCTGAGAGTGAGACCTCAGATGAGTCACATCCTGCCAACATGATTTATATTCAAACGGAAGGGGCCTTCAAGTCCAACCGACTCAGGTGAAGAGCCTGGGGAATTCTGGGAGTTGAAGTCCGGACATCTTCAAGTTGCCAAGGTTGAGAAACACTGGTCCAGAGGTTTCAAAGGCAGCCCCCCCAAAAAACCACGACGTTTCAGTTTCTGCTCGCATTCAGAGTTCTTCCTTGGAAGGAGTAAAAACGGGGGATATTTTTCCAGGTGAATTTGAGCAGGGTTAGGATTTAGCCCAAATCCAACTCTCCCTTCCCAGCCCTTTGCCAACAATCGACCCCCATCTCTCTCCGGGAGAGGCACGAGGGGCGAGGGAGAAGGGCCCCAAGCTGGGCCCCAGGCAAGGGAGGGAGCATGGCTGGCCTCCTGTGATGGCCGAATCTGCCGGGCTGGCACAACACTGGAGAGGAATGGATGCCCAAAAGTGGAGGAAGGAGACCACTGAGCAAAGGATAGCATTACGAGGATGCGGCCGAAGGGTCCGGACTCCCCACTTGGAGGGCCCCGAATAGGTGAAGGGCTGGTGCAGCTGCCCAGGTGTAAGGGCCATATATATGCTCAAAGAGAGGCTTTTAGGGGATGGCAACATGCTGTGTGTTGGTACGTCGGCTACCAACAGAAATGTATAACCGACAATGACTTATTTTGGGCCAAAGACAAAGGTGGCCTCATGTTAGCTTGATCTGGAACCTTGGAGGACAGAGGAACGCGACCCCCCCTGTAAGGTCAACTGGCAAGCCAAGGAAAGGAGGGAGGGGGGAGGGAGGAAAGGAGGGAGGGTCTGGCTAGGAAGCTCTTGGCCAAGGAAGCCCAAAGGCAGCCGCAGCATCAACCTATCAGAACACTTTTGAATGGCAGTTTAGAATTGAGGGGTTTAAAATGCCTTCTGTGGTCTCTGAGCCGAGGTGGCGCAGTGGTTAAATGCAGCACTGCAGGCTACTTCAGCTGACTGCAGTTCAGCAGTTCGGCTGTTCTAATCTCACCGGCTCAAGGTTGACTCAGCCTTCCATCCTTCCGAGGTGGGTGAAATGAGGACCCAGATTGTTGGGGGCGATATGCTGACTCTGTAAACTGCTTAGAGAGGGCTGAAAGCCCTATGAAGCAGTATATCAAGAGCCGAGGTGGCGCAGTGGTTAAATGCAGCACTGCAGGCTACTTCAGCTGACTGCAGTTCAGCAGTTCGGCTGTTCTAATCTCACCGGCTCAAGGTTGACTCAGCCTTCCATCCTTCCGAGGTGGGTGTAATGAGGACCCAGACTGTGGGGGCAATGTGCTGACTCTGTAAACCGCTTAGAGAGGGCTGAAAGCCCTAGGAAGCGGTATATAAGTCTAACTGCTAAGTCTAACTGAATGCTAAGTCTCTGGGCATCCTTGGTCTTTCTCAGCAGGCAACCTGCTTTTTCCCAGGCGTGGGTTCAGGCTCGCCGCAGATAACCTCCCCCCTGAGCTTGTTGTAGATGTTGGGGGGTAAAACCAGGGAGTCTCCCCCTCTTTTGGAAGGCCGCGAGAGCTTCTGCAGAGGCAAAGGGGTCGGGTGGGAAGGGGGATTCCCTGCCCCCCATTGAGCAGCCCCAAAGCGGAGCCTCTGGCCGGGCTGGGATCTCTGTGTTTGGCTCAAAGAGCAGCTGCCTCCTTCCCTCCTGGGGGAAGCCAAACATGTCCGGCTTCCCACCTCCAAGTCTTCTTAAAGTCAGCCGAGACTCCAGGCTGTCCTTTGCCTTCGGGAGACAGAGATACTTGCGGTAGCTTGCCCCAATGGCTGAGCGACCGACCGTTGGGTTTTCCATAGGATTCCCTGAGCTAATGGAAAGGCCGCTTCGAAGGTCCCCGCTGGTCAGGGATGCGGCAAAAGTGGCAGCCGGGGTTGGGTCTGTAGAGGCCAAAGGTGGCTCCTGGAAGGGGAGGTTCTCCCTGGGAAAGAGGAGGCGCAGAAGAAAACGAGGGTGTGGAGTGGGGGGGGGGAAGTTTCCCAAATCTTTCTGAAGGTGGAGCAGGGCAGAGCCGTGCCAGGCCCTTAAATGCAGCTGGAGGGAACAGATGGTGCCAGGGAGCCAGGCACACCAAAGCTTGCCTCCCATGTTGACGGAGGCCAAGGTATTGCTCAGATCTCCTCCGGGGTTTGCCACACAGCCTTCCCCAAGGCAGGGGAAGGTAATTCATCTGTGGGACTGCAGCTCCCATCCTCCCCAGCCAGCGAGGCTTGGGATGTGTTGGGGAGTCAGATATTGAGGGTGGCTGGTTTCAGGCTCCCAAGGGCAGGGCTCCCTTGAGTGGCCTTTTCCGTCGTAGGGAAGTGAATCCACGGGGCGAATTTTCTGCCTTCGCTGGAGATGGGTCCCCTGGGAAGGAAGGCTGGGCTGCCCCCACTCCCTCTCCCCGATCAGCGGCCGGGCTTCGGTCTGGGAATACAGGAAGGCAGCTGAGACTAACCCCTGGCTCTTTCTTTCTTTCCATCAAGGATGAACCTGTCTCAAGGAAAGGCCGTTCTCTTATGGATGTTCTTGCTCGCTCTTTTCTCGCTGGCCTTTTTCACCTACCTGGACAGGTAAGAAATCCAGGGCCCTTGAAATGCCAACGGAGTTTACTGTTCTTGCAAGGGAAGGTGCTCCACCAACTTCTTTTGCAACCTTCCTTTCTATTGCGCCCGATTCCCGTCACCCGTTTAAGGCAGACTCACCCGGGAACGTCTGTTCCCTTCCTTTGGAGCCCAACAAGGAAGAGAATCAAGGATTCCCATCATTGCTTGCCAGTAAATCTGGGGCAATCAACCCCCTGGAGCAGCCGAGGCTTCACTAATGTGAGACAATGAACCTTACAGATCCAGAAGCTGGAAGAAACCTGGAGAAACCCAGACCAGGCAACCCCCGCGGCAGAGACCGGGCACAGGGTGAGTTTGGTGGAGAGAAGCGCCAGGAGGACGGGTGGCCCCGATGCCTTCACTCAGAAGCCCAGCCTGTGGCACATCAGAACAGCTTTCCGTTGGGGGGGGGGGATGGATCAGGCCTGCGCTTTGTACGCAGCATTTCAACAGCCGAGATCCGCTCCCAAATTGTTACATAAAGCTCCACACGCACCACCAATGTGAAATCTCACACTCCCGAACTCTTGATGGTGCAACGCATTCCCTCTGGTCTGTGTGTGTGTGTGTCTATGTTGGAGTGACGGAACCAGGAGAAGTTCTCCTCTGCCAAATCGAAAGGCAGTTCGGTTGCAGCTTTCCTGTGATCCAACTCCTTAAACCAAAGACCGGCCCCTGGGTCGGCTGCAGGGGTCATAACGGCCCCTCCACCATGGAGGAGACTGTGGGAGGAAGGGAAGGGGGATGGTGTGTGTGTGTGTGTGTGTAAACAGAGGGGTTGCATAGCAACCTCAGCGGCTGCTTCCTCTCCAGAGAAGCCCCATGTCTCCTCCTGCTTGTCCTGAGACCGTCCAGATGTCTTGGACGAGAGTTCAAGAGTTCTGGGGCAATTCTCAGCCAGGCCCAAGCCCCACATCAGGTTGGGTTTCTGGGAGCTCCAGGCCAACCTGCGCATTTGTAGGGCATCGCGGAAGGTTTCCAGAGCCAGAACCTCCCGGCCCCACCTGGGCGTGGAGATAGCCGGGAGCTTCTGAAGAGCGCAGGAGTTCTGCCCACGAATGGGCACCCTGCCAGCCATTTCTTTCTTTCTTTCTTTCTTTCTTTCTTTCTTTCTTTCTTTCTTTCTTTCCTTCCTTCTTTCTTTCTTCTTCCTTTCTTCTTTCTTTCTTTCCTTCCTTCCTTCTTCCTTTCTTCCTTTCTTTCCTTCCTTCCTTTTTTCTTTCTTCTTCCTTTCTTTCTTTCCTTCCTTTTCTTCCTTCTTCCTTTCTTCTTTTCTTTCTTTCCTTCCTTCCTTCCTTCTTTCTTCCTTTCTTCTTCCTTTCTTTCCTTCCTTCCTTCCTTCTTTCTTTCTTCTTCCTTTCTTCTTTCTTTCTTTCCTTCCTTCCTTCTTCCTTTCTTCCTTTCTTTCCTTCCTTCCTTTTTTCTTTCTTCTTCCTTTCTTTCTTTCCTTCCTTTTCTTCCTTCTTCCTTTCTTCTTTTCTTTCTTTCCTTCCTTCCTTCCTTCTTTCTTCCTTTCTTCTTCCTTTCTTTCCTTCCTTCCTTCCTTCTTTCTTTCTTCTTCCTTTCTTTTCTTTCCTTCCTTCCTTCTTTCTTTCTTTTTCTTTCCTTCCTTCCTTCTTTCTTTCTTCCTTTCTTCTTTCTTTCCTTCCTTCCTTCCTTCCTTCCTTCTTTCTTTCTTCTTCCTTTCTTTTCTTTCCTTCCTTCCTTCTTTCTTTCTTTTTCTTTCCTTCCTTCCTTCTTTCTTTCTTCCTTTCTTCTTTCTTTCCTTCCTTCCTTCCTTCCTTCCTTCTTTCTTTCTTCT